ATATATATATATATATATATATATATATATATATATATATACGGGTCGGTTCTGGGTCGGTTCCAATTAGACCCGTAACCCGACCCAGAACCATCCGGTTCTAGAAACTTAAACCCATTACGCGACCCAGAACCATTTAGCTGACCCAGATCCGCCCCAAACGGGTCGGTTCCGGGTCCAAGACCCGCCAAACCCGTACCCATTGCCATCCCTAATCTCACCCCACCCCCCATATTCTCTCCCTATCTGCACGCAATTTTAGTGTTTTTCCATTTTTATTTTTATTTTTTTTAATAGTTTTTTTTATTTCAAAATTAAAAACAAAACTTTGTTATTTTTTTATTTTTTATTTTTTATTTTTTATTTTATTTAAGTTTTTAAATCGTGCATATTTAATATTTTATATAAAAAAAAATCCACTACATAATAATCGAAAACCACTAAATTTATCGAAAACTACTATGAAAATAAAGTAAAAATTACTATAAAATAAGCATAATCCACATTAATATTAATGTAATCCCACTATTAAATTAGTGTAACCCACTGTTAAATTAGTGTAATTCACTACATGTTCATCGAAAACCACTATTAAATTAGTGAAATCCACATAAATTTTTTTCCACCCGGGTTACAAAAATTAAAATCCACTATATACTCATCAGAAACTACTACAAATTTATCGAAAACCATTGTAAAATTACTATAAAAATCACTGTAAAATAACGTAATCCACTTTACATTAACATAATCCACAACAAACTTATCGAAATCCACTAAAAACATACGTAATCCAATAGTAACACAAATAAAAAAATAACAACGGAAAAAAACGTAAATTCACTATACATAAATCCACTATTTAAAAATCCGCTATTTGAAACGTAAACCACTACTATGTTCAGAAAAAATGCAAGACCAGTACACCACCACCAACAAGGCCATCTCTGTTTACGCCGGGACTCAATCTCCCACCTACAGTAGAAATTGTTAACACTTTTTTTTTTTGATCGAAAATTGTTAACACTTAATTTATGGAATATTCTTTTAATTTCTTAATTATATATATATATATATATATATATATATATATATATATATTAGTAAGTATTATTTTGTGGTTTTGAAATCTGTATATGCATATAGTATTACGTAATTGTGTGGTATTCATTGGTAAGTATGTTGTTCTGTGTAATGGGTTTGGTTAAATCTGGTTTTTTTGTGTAAGTATTATTTTGTGAATTTGAATATGCATAAATGATTTGTTTTGTGGTTTCGGGGATAGGGAGAGATGGACGAGGACGATCACGTGCCGCCGGCGGAAGGGGACCGCAGCAGCCAACCGGCCGCGGCCAAAAACAACCATCGCGTGGCGGCGGTCCAGGCCGTGGTCGAGGCCGCGGTAGCAGTGCTACGCCGGAGCACTCAATTTCAGCTTCTGTGGCTCCGTTCGAGCAGTCTCCGATGCCGCGGTAGCAGTGCTACGCCGGAGCACTCAATTTCAGCTTCTGTGGCTCCGTTCGAGCAGTCTCAGATGCCGCTCGCCGCAGCATCACTTAGCCGCGAGATGGAGCAGAAGCTCACGTTTCAGGCTTCGTCTTCGACCGTTGTTCCGGCGCCTCGCCCACAGGTTACGGCGAGAGAGGAAAGAGGGGTGGGGGCGGCGCCGGTGGAGAGATAAGAAACAAAACGGAGGCTGAACGGAGAGAGGCGCAACGGTCAATAGAAAAAAAAGGAGAAATCAGATCTAGAGAGAAAAAAGAGAGAAACAAATATTACGTATATTTATGTTCAACCCTAAGAGAAAAAAATGGAGAAAATCAGATCTAGAGAGAAAAAAATAGTGAAACAAATATTACGTATATTTATGTTATACCCTAAGATACCTTATAATAAGATAATGGTATAATGGTGATACTTAATTAATTTGTATTAATAAAAGATGTTTTGGATTTATCTTAAAAATACAAAATAAATTTGGGCTCATTGTAATTGCACTTGTGTGATGAGGGAGTTTTGTCAAATTATCCCCTTTATATTGTGTCTTACCAATATATAAAAGAGTAAAAAACAGTTTGCCTCCTAAACTATAGCTTGTTTTGCACTTTGCCCCCCAAACAAAAAAAATTTGCACGTTTTTACCTGAACTCAACATTCATTGCACGGTGCCTCCTAAAAGGAATATTCCGGCAATTTTGACCGGAATATTACAACACGTGTGTTGCACATGAGATTTTCAGGGGCAAATTTGTCCCTTCACTTACATTCTATATTTTAATCATTAAAAAAATAAAAAAATAATAAAAAAAAAAAAAGAAAAAAGGGAAAAGAAGAAAGAAAAAAGAAAAAGAAAAGGAAGTTGTCATCCCGTCAGACCAGGCCACCACCCTCCCAAAGCCAACCCACCCATCCCATATCCCAGTAAAAAAATCTCATCAATTTTTCGTGTTGCTCCTCTTCTTCCAATTTAGCTTTCATCTTCTCTTCGATTTTACCCCTCTCGTTATTTTCTTTTTATATCTGTTCTCTGGCAAACAAAATCATTGAAGACAAATGGGACTGTGACGGTGGTTCTTGTGGTGGTGATTTGTCTTGCTCCTCTTCTTGTTCTACATGATTTTTAATTTCGAATTCAATCGTGATTTTTGTGAGAAATTAACATTCAGACCTCTGTTTTTATTTTCTTGTTCTAACTGTTAATTTGGGCAAGTTCACCCACCGTTCGAGAAAACATAAAAAAATCTCTTCAACAACTTGATCGCCACTGCGCCGCCGCAGAAGATGAACCTGCCGGAGCTTCCATCGGTGGAGGAATGTGATCTGCCAATTGTCGATTTGGGGCAGCTCGAACTAGAGATAGCTATAACCACTGGATCGAGGAATGGGCAACGAAGAATGCGCAAGAACCACTGGATCGAGGAATGGGCGACGAAGAGAGAGAATCTCGAGCACCATTTCCGGTGGACCCGCCGCAACCTTGCCCTCGCCGGAATCTTCGGAATCGCCGTCCCCGTCCTCGTCTACAAAGGCATTGAAACACGTTGTTATATTTTACAAAAGTGTTTTTAACTCTCTTACTTTCAAATTAAATTTTAGTTATTACTTAGTGGGCTAAGTGGTATGACTTAGTGGGCTAAGTAGTGATTAGTGGGTTTAATTGTGGGTTTTATTCTAACTTCCTAACTAACCCACTAACCCATTATCTTGAGTGCTCTTGTGGTTGGTTTTCTTGCAGATCATGGGCTGAGGAGTGGAAGCTTGGCAAGTCTATAAATACCAAACTCAAGACTCAAGAACATTACAGATTTCGAAGAAACAAAAGAGAGCTGAAGTTTTAATCTCGAGAATTTTAGTGTGTTTCTAGGATCTGTTGTACGTACTCCTTATGAGTACATTCTTTGAAATCTAGAATTTTTAATATTTTTCTTTTAGTATCTAGATTTGATTGTAAGAGTGATCTTGAAAAAAATTCATTCATAAGGAAGAAGTTTTCGCACCTCTTCTGTTTGTATTCTTAGAATACTAATTTTAATATATTTTTCCGTCCTGTAAAGGGCAAGTTCACAAGTCTTTACTTGTGAACATTTTTTAATTATGAACATTGTCTTTTAATCTTTATATTTCCGCTGCATGTTGTCTCAAGTGTCATAACATTTTAGATAACATCTCTGTATAATACGAATTCGGGACCATAAATTCTTTCAATTGGTATCAGAGCCAACACTTGACGTATACTAAGTGTTTGTTCCTATTTTTTCTTTACAGAAACGAATTCGTGATGGATACTCAGATGACTGCTTCTATGCGACCTCCTGTACTTGATGGCACGAACTACACCTACTGGAAAGTCAAGATGAGGGCGTACATCAAAGCCATTGATGAGAGAGCATGGAGATCTATTCTCACTGGATGGAAGCCACCAACTATCACAGATGTGGACGGAGATGTTTTTCCAACTCCAGAATTACGGTGGACACCAGACGATCTATCAAATGCTAACCAAAACTCAAAGGCGTTAAATGCAATCTTCAATTCAGTAGATTTAACAATGTTTAAATTAATCTCTGTATGCACTTCTGCAAAGGATGCTTGGGAAGTTCTTCAGCTACATTGTGAGGGATCAGATAGTGTCAGAAGAACCAAGCTCAGACTACTCTCTTCCAAATTTGAGAGACTGAGAATGGAGGAAACTGAAACAATTTCTCAGTACAATGAGAAGTTGATTGATTTAGCTAATGAATTTCAATCCTTAGGTGGTCCCTTGAGCAACGAGACACTAGTGAATAAGGTATTGAGAACTCTTCCAGAAAGGTTCAGCATGACGGTTACTGCTATTGAGGAGGCTAAAGATACATCATCTCTACGGCTGGACGAGTTAATTGGTAGTCTCAAGTCCAGAGAGATGAACTTCGAAGATCAAAGAAAGGAGAAAGGAAAGGCTATCTCAAATGCACTCCAGGCAGAATTAGAAAAGGAAGATGTTGCTCTGGAATATGATGATGATGCAGAAGAATGTCTCAACAATGTGGCATTTCAAATTCAGAAATTCAATAGGGCGTACAGACGAAGTGGAATCAAGCCCAGACAGTTATTTCCAGAAGGCTCTCCACAAAATCGACAAACTCAGCCCCGGAACAGATCTATTCCACTGAGAACATTTCCTCAAACATCTTCTCAAAACACTTTAAAAAATTCTTCATTTATTCGTTCAAATTCTGAACCACCTAACTTGGATCATATTAAATGCAGGGCTTGTTCAGGGTTTGGACATTATGCTAATGAATGTGCAAATACCTTGAGAAGAAGAGGAATGAGTTTGATTTGTGCTGTCAGTGATGAGGAGGAAGAACAACCTGAACAGACAGAGGAACAACAATCATCTAAACAAGCTCTTTCTGTCAGATATCTCACTGGAAGTTTCTCTGAAACAGAATCCCAAGGAGTCTCTCTGGATGCTGCAACACTTTCTGAAACACTTTCAGTTTGTGAGTTAAATACTGATCATTATACATGTTTAAACTCTATTTCTGTGAATGCAGCAGAATCCAGTAATGAAGCAGTCAGTGATGATGAAGAAATGTGTAAGAAACTGATCAGAAACTTGGAGAAGAAGAATCAAGCTCTAGATGCAGCCAACAGGGAAAATTCTTCCCTTAAAGAAACAATCACACATTTGGAGGTTGGTATCACCAAAAAGGATCTTGAACTGGCAAAGGTAAAAGATGAACTCAAAGAAGCAACTCTAGCAATCAAGAGGATGAATACCGGCACAACTAAACTCGAAGAGATTGTGTCACTGGAAAAGTACAACAAAAAGGAAGGTCTAGGGTTCAAGAAACAAGTGAAGAAACACAAGCCAGTAAAGAAGAAAGAAATTGTCTTTGTCAAAGAGAAGGGTTCAAATGACAAGGAATCCAGGAATCTCACAGTCACCACTTCAGAGTCCAGAACAAGGGGATACATTTGTCATTACTGTTTCTCACCAGGACATATTCGTCCATTTTGTGAAAAACTCAGCAGTGACAAAATGTTGTACAAAATAAGTCACGTCACTCCAGGGAACACTTCAAAGAAAAAGGTAGAATGTACCAAAAGGGAGTGTAAAATATGGACTCCCAAAGGTAAACTTTTGTGCAAAGCAGTATACACCTCTTTAAATGCTAACATTTCAGGTTCATGGTACTTTGATAGTGGATGCTCTAGGCACATGACTGGAACAAAGGAATTTCTATCAAACTACCACACACTTAATGGAGGACGTGTAACCTATGGAGGAGGAGCTAAAGGCAAAGTGGTTGGACGTGGAACACTCAGTATTGAGGGACTCCCAAAACTTTCAAATGTCTTACATGTTGAAGGATTGGGGTCAAACCTCATCAGTATCAGTCAATTGTGTGATGATGATCTACGTGTAGAGTTTGATAAATACTGTTGTGAAGTGTTTGATAACCAAAATCATTGTGTATTGACAGGTTCCAGATCAATGGATAATTGCTATCAAACTGGTGACACCATATCTTGCAAGAGCTCAAGAGTAAGTGAAGTAGAGCTATGGCACCAGAAGCTAGGACACACAAACTTCAAAAATCTGAAGCTGCTCAACAAATACAATGCCATAAGAGGAGTACCAGATCTCAAGATCGAGGATATTCCCATATGTGGAATGTGCCAGAAGGGAAAGCAAACCAGAGTACCACACAAAGTGTTGCAACACGTTGGTACCACTATTTGTTTTGAACTTGTACATATGGATCTTATGGGTCCCATAGAGGTAGAAAGCCTAGGTGGTAAAAAATATGTCTTTGTATGTGTGGATGATTTTTCAAGATATACATGGGTGTATTTTTTAAGAGAAAAATCAGACACTTTTGAGGTGTTCAAAAATCTGTACAGGTTTGTTAAAACTCAATTTGAAATTTCTGTTCGTAGAATCAGGTCTGATCATGGAAAAGAATTTGAGAATGCTTTATTTCTTGCTTTTTGTAATAAAAAGGGTATAAAGCATGAATTTTCTGCTCCAAAAACTCGTCAACAAAATGGTATTGCTGAAAGAAAAAACAGAACCATCCAAGAAATGGCTAGGGTGATGATGAGTGCAAAAAATCTGTCTAAAATGTTTTGGGCTGAGGCTGTCAACACAGCTTGTCACATCTCAAATCGTGTGTATCTAAGATTAGGATCTATGATGACTTCATATGAAATTCGTTATGGCAAGAAACCTAATCTAGAATACATGCATGTGTTTGGATGTGTCTGCTATGTTCTAAATGATAGAGAGCATCTAGCTAAATTTGATTCAAAAAGTGATTTGAGTTTGTTTATGGGATACTCTAATAACAGTCATGCCTATAGAGTGTATAATCTAAGAACTCGAACCATTATTGAATCTGTAAATGTGGTATTTGATGACTTTGCTGATCTCCGCAGTAAAACAGCTGAAGATGAAGTTGATGACTTAATTGCTGAAAGAGACACAACCGAAGAAGACACTTCTACCACAGGTGATCCAGATACAGACAGTCCAGGGTCAAAAGAAGAAAGTGCTGAGCCAAGTGTGACCACATCTGACTCAGTACATCCTCCAGAGACTGAGTTACAGCCAGTCTTTGATGTCTGCAGAAAGGAACCCTCAAGTAGAATTCAGAAAAATCACCCATCTACTCAAGTAGTGGGAGATATCTTTGATGGAATGAGGACCAGAAGAAAAGAGAGAGTAAACTACAGAGATATGGTAAGATTTGCAAATTTATCTTCTGAATGTGCACTAACTGGAACCACTTGTTTTGTGTCTTCAGTAGAACCAAGAAATATTGCAGAAGCTCTGAAGGATGAATTCTGGGTAAATGCAATGCATGAAGAGTTGAATCAGTTCATCAGAAATGATGTTTGATACTTAGTTCCCAGACCAAACCATGTAAATGTGATAGGAACTAAGTGGATCTTCAAAAACAAAACTGATGAAAAAGGTACAGTGGTTAGAAATAAGGCTAGGTTAGTAGCACAAGGTTATACCCAAATTGAGGGTATAGACTTTGATGAGACTTTTGCTCCAGTAGCTAGAATTGAATCTATTAGATTACTTCTTGCTATAGCCTGCTTTCTTAAAATCAAACTGTATCAGATGGATATCAAAAGTGCATTTCTGAATGGGGTTCTGAATGAGGAAGCATATGTAGAACAACCCAAGGGTTTTGAAGATTCTGCCAAGCCTAATCATGTTTTCAAGCTTAAGAAGGCACTGTATGGTCTTAAACAAGCTCCTAGAGCTTGGTATCAAAGACTCACTGACTTCTTACTTGAAATACAATTCAATAGAGGAGAGGCAGATAGAACTCTATTCATTAGAAGAACAAATAATCATATTATTATTGTTCAGATATATGTTGATGATATTGTTTTTGGCTCTACTTGTGCTAATCTTTTACAGTCTTTTGTAGATTCTATGTCTCACACTTTTGAAATGAGCATGGTAGGGGAGTTGAATTACTTCTTAGGACTCCAAATCAAACAAACAGGTGAAGGAATGTTTGTAAATCAAAAGAAGTATGCTCTCAATCTGGTCAAAAGATTTGAGTTGGAGTCAGCCAAGCACATGAAAACTCCAATGGGTTCCAGCCAAAAACTGTCCAAGGATGATGTTGCAGAAGATGTTGACAGCACTCTATACAGAAGCATGATTGGAAGCCTTCTGTATCTAACAGCAAGCAGGCCTGACATTATGTTTAGTGTTTGTGTGTGTGCCAGGTATCAAGCTAATCCCAAAGTCACTCATCTTAAAGCTGTGAAGAGGATTATTAGGTATGTTGCAGGTACAGTAGATTTAGGGATTCAGTTTTTCAAAGACACAAACACAAACTTGATAGGTTTTAGTGATTCTGATTGGGCTGGGGATATTAGTGACAGAAAAAGCACTTCAGGTGCATGTTTCTTTTTGGGGAATAATCTGGTTTCTTGGTTTAGTAGAAAGCAAAATTGTGTATCTCTATCAACAGCTGAATCAGAATATGTAGCTGCTGGAGGGTGTTGTGGTCAACTAATTTGGATGAAACAAATGTTGGGAGATTATGGGTTGACCAGTGATACCCTGACCATATATTGTGATAATTCAAGTGCTATTGACATTTCAAAAAATCCTGTTCAACACTCACGAACTAAACACATAGATATTAAACATCATTTTATTCGTGATATAGTTGAGAAAAATATATTGTGCTTAAAGTACATTCCTACAGAAGATCAACTGGCTGACATCTTTACAAAGGCATTAGATTATGAGAGGTTTTCTAAACTCAGAAAATCTCTCGGGATGTGTACTCAATAAACATGTCCTAAAATATGTTGCAGCACCTCATCCAATATCTTAAGTTGCAACACAATTTACTGAAGCTTAGCTTCTTTAAATAATGACTTCACTGTGATGAATTATTTTTCTAAATAAGTAACTGGAAGTCTTTCACTTTGAAACGTGATCATGCTTCATGTAAACATTTGGGAAATAATTCTACTCACATAAGTCAAACTCCTCTATTTTGATAGTCATATCTTAGTAACTGAGGAACCTTCAAACTGAACACTTGATCATGTTCCATGTGAATTGTTTGACTTGAAAATAAGAGTTTAAAAAAAAAAAAAAAAAAAATTGATATTTATAAAATAAAATCTATGCCTGTTAGCCAATTTTTCTCATACTATTAATCATTAATAAATTTGTTTTTTTTCTATTTTTGTGAATATTTCGTGAGTGATAATATTATTTTTTATTTATATTGAATTATTACTATTTATATGGGTCATGGGGTACATGGGTTAGTCTTTCATTTTCCACTAAGTCCACTCCTTTTTGTGCCATGTGTCACGTTTTGCCTTAAACTGCCAAAGGAAGTGTTATTCTCCTTAATCACACTTTCTCCAAGAAAAACGCACCCCACTTCTTCATCTTCTCCACTTCGATTTTTCTCAGCAAAAATTAGGGCTTATAAATTTCGTGCTTAATCTTTCGAAAATTCACACCTTCAAATCAAAAGCACAAAGAAGAAATCTTTATCTACTGTATCATGGCATCTCCACCTAGAAATCCCCTTCCAGCCGAAGATGATGTCCACAACGATGCTGCAGCACCTGAACCAGCAGACCCAAATCTGGCCATCATCGTTCATCCAGTCAACCTTGATGCTCTTCCTATCAGCTACATTGAGCCCGGCGACGAGCTGAACCCGATTGACCCAGACAACTTCGATTTTGTGGGTCCCTCTTCCACTGCTGGAAGATTTCCAACTCGCCGGTCCAAGCGCATGAACCCCTTTCCAGATCTGAATACTGCTGGGTCACAACGCCGGAGGGGTGAACACTCTCCCAGAAGAGGAAGCAGAGGTGGAAGAAGAGGAGGCAGTGGTGGCCGCACTCCAGTTCGGCCAAACCCACGAAGAGGTCTTCATTTGGTAGATGAAGAAACTGATGATGAAGCAGGGGATCCTACCTTTGCTGCACCACAGGCTCAAGCCTTGTCCTCCAGCTCCTCCGAGTCATCATCCAACAACTCACCTCCCCCAGCATCAACTCAGGGGGAGACATCACAGCCCAGCATGGCAACAGCAGCCTCTCAACATTCTGTTCCTGAAGGTGTTGCTGCACCTGTTTCTGAAGGTGTTGCTGCACCTGTTCCAGAAGATGCTGCTGCACCCACTGCTTCAACAAATGTTCCTCAGAATGCTGCTGAGGGTGCTGCTCCCTATCAGGATGAAGAAATGCCTGATTTTTCTGGGATGTCTTCTGCAGAGCATGTTGACATTCCCACTGTTGATGCTCAGGAGTTCACCACTACTGAAGAAACTCCATCAGTCCCTCATGCAGACCCTCTGGAAACCCTGGCAGAAGCAGCAGTTCAAGCAGATACATCTCCTCCTCAGGCTGAAGAACCAGAGAAAAGTGATGACAGTTGGGAGGTTCCTCTAGCTGCTTTTCGCAAAAACTTGCCATCTTCAGATTCATACAGTGAATCTTCTGAAGACTCTTCTCAGCAGGAAGAAGATGTTGTCCCACCTGCTGCATCACCTGAACCAGCATACATTCCAGATGAACTGGAAGATTCAGAAGATGAGGACTCCTCAGAAGAAGAAGAACCAGACTTGGATGGGAAGAATTTGTCAACCCCTTTTGAGGTAAACAATGCCTTCAGTCCTAACTTTTATTTTGAATCTGATTCCATTTTGAGTCCTCAAGTCATGAATTGTCAATTCATTGAGGAAAAGAAAATTTCCAAGGAAGAATTTGATAGGCATAGAATCACAGCTTTTCTTCATCAAAGAAACATTCTTAGCCTTGTTGACATTGCCTGCTCCTATGATCCCACTGTGGTAAAGGAATTTTATGCAAATTTGCAAACCTCTTTTTTAAAGAAAAATTCTCCAAACTTTGGCAAAGTTTTTGTGAGAAATTCAATCTTCTCATTTTCTCCCAAAATTATCAACTCTCACTTACAAACTCCTACTGTGATTGATGAGGATAATTATGGTGATTTTACTGAGGTTTGTAAAGTTATTTCTGGAAACTGTTTAAAAAGTTGGCCTGCACATCCCAGAAAATTTAAGGTTTCTCAACTCACTGCTTTCTACTCTGTCCTGTTCAGACTCACAGTGATGAATTGGATTCCATCCAAAAATGTCTCTGTGGTGACTAAACCTCATGCTGTACTCATGTACAAATTGGGGATGGGATTACCAGTTGATTTTGGCAAACTTTTCTTCAATACTATAGGTCATCTTGCCCAGAAAATTTCACCCTCTACTCATCTTCCTTATCCTTCTCTCATCTATTCCATTTTACTCTCTCAAAACTTGGGACAAGATGACTCAGAGTATCTTCACACTCCACAAGGCATGATCACTGTATCTCAAAACTTTCTAAGAGCTCCTCATGTCCAAGACCTTCCCTGGAATGGAGATAATTTTCTCTCAAGTGAATCAGGTCAAAATAATCTGGGTACTGAAGGTGTTGCTCCCAATGTTGACAACACTTCTAACATTCTTGTGTCTGTTCCTAGAGATCTTCTGTTACAGCAGCTTACTCACTCTCTAGCTCAGATTACCTATCACCAGACCATGGTGGACATGCTCCAAAAGGCTCTTTCTGATCAAAAAGGGGGAGAAAAAGGTCACGAGGCTGAAGCAGGAACTTCCCACCCTTTGGATGCCAGAGGCAGAGGGCAAGGAGTTAATGAAGAAGAAGCAAAGAATGAGGGTGAAGAGGAGAGCAGTGGATCCAGTGCAAGTGATGGAGGAGCAGCAGCTGACACTGAGGAGACTTTGGAGATTCTACTTTAAATGTTTTCATGAACAATATTTTGATTTTGTTCTGTTTTTTATTTTCCCCTGAACTTTTTATTAGGACTGCACTTTGATTATTTCTTGTTTAAGTTTTTTGTTGGACTATCTTGCTGAATTTGTTTTGAATTGATCTTTCTATATTATTTTTGGTATTTTCAAATTCAGGGGGAGTTCAAGCAATATCTCAGGGGGAGTTCTAGCTAAAATTTAGTTTTGATCAGAAAGTTAAAAAGGGGGAGTTTGAAACACGTTGTTATATTTTACAAAAGTGTTTTTAACTCTCTTACTTTCAAACTAAATTTTAGTTATTACTTAGTGGGCTAAGTGGTATGACTTAGTGGGCTAAGTAGTGATTAGTGGGTTTAATTGTGGGTTTTATTCTAACTTCCTAACTAACCCACTAACCCATTATCTTGAGTGCTCTTGTGGTTGGTTTTCTTGCAGATCATGGGCTGAGGAGTGGAAGCTTGGCAAGTCTATAAATACCAAACTCAAGACTCAAGAACATTACAAATTTCGAAGAAACAAAAGAGAGCTGAAGTTTTAATCTCGAGAATTTTAGTGTGTTTCTAGGATCTGTTGTACGTACTCCTTATGAGTACATTCTTTGAAATCTAGAATTTTTAATATTTTTCTTTTAGTATCTAGATTTGATTGTAAGAGTGATCTTGAAAAAGATTCATTCATAAGGAAGAAGTTTTCGCACCTCTTCTGTTTGTATTCTTAGAATACTAATTTTAATATATTTTTCCGTCCTGTAAAGGGCAAGTTCACAAGTCTTTACTTGTGAACATTTTTTAATTCTGAACATTGTCTTTTAACCTTTATATTTCCGCTGCATGTTGTCTCAAGTGTCATAACATTTTAGATAACATCTCTGTATAATACGAATTCGGGACCATAAATTCTTTCAGGCATCGTCAAAGATTTCGTGTTTTTTTTTCTCTCTTGGCCCCCCTCTTCTCTTACGATGATTTGATTGGTTCTAATTCCAATTTCATTCCTTGTATTTTTAAAGTGACTCTGTTTGTGCCCTAATCAATTTATCGAATCAACGCCTTCCTGCTATTTATTTTTTGATTTTGGCAAGAGCCTAAACGCTTAGTGGTGGAA